ATATATACATATATATTTCTAAAAGGCGTAACAACTTTTTGTTAAAGAAACTTTTTTCCTCAAAAAATGAATAAAAGCTATAACAATTATCAAAAAGAATAAAAAACATTACATATTTGTTATTCAAATATATAAAATTCGTGTGTCGGTATATATAGCATATATGGGACTTTCATGCGCATGCGCATGTGTTTTTGTACATGCTTTTCGGGGCCATGTATTTGAGGCAAGTTAGCAGTCTAGTATATAAATATAAATGTCTATGGTTAATATCCCAACCTGACCCTAACCTTAACTAATCGTGCCGATCAGCTGATCGTAAAATACAGCTGATCGTTGACGTTCGCGGGGGAAATCGAGGAGCTAGATTCCAATCTACGGGATATATAGATCATCCGAGCTCTGATAATCGCCCCGTTTCCCGCAAACTTCGACCGTAGCAACGTGGTATGTCGTGCGGACGGGAAACCAAGCGACGCGCGGCAGGCCTGACTAAAGTCGACGGAGACTGAGATCTTTCTCGTTCTGAAATTATGTCCGCGCGTACGTGATTCATGCGGCGACTCGGAGATCGCGGGCGTTCTAGGTACGGCACTGGTCGCGCAGATTTACGAGGAGGAATTCGGCAGGCGAGCGCGAGCGCGGTCTTCTCCTGCGACGGAAGTCCTTCCCAATGACGCGACTGCGGCTCGATGCGCTCATGCCCAAGCTCCAGTCGATCATCCGCCGTAGGTTCCTCGCCCGGGCGAACGTGCTCACGTGCCTGCTCGTGGCCGTCCTCGTCTTCCTGTGCGTGCGCTACCTGCCGGCGCGGGAATGCCAGCCGGACCGGCAGATCCCGGAGAGCAAGCCCAAGTACCGGCTGATCGTCCTGATCCTGAGCGGCCCGGACAACCTAGAACGCCGCGACACCATCAGGAAGACCTGGTTGGCCGACCGCGGCCAGGATGCCACGGTGCGGCACTTCTTCGTCATCGGCACCCAGGACATCCTGCCGGAGCAGCGGAACACTCTGCGGTCGGAGAAGGAGAAGTTTGACGATCTCCTGCTGCTGCCCAGATTGCAGGATTCCTACGGCACGCTGACGAAGAAGGTCCTCCACGCCCTGAGGAACGTCCACGAGCGTTATGACTTTGATTACCTGCTGAAATGCGACGACGACTCCTACGTGCTGGTGCACAAGATTCTGAAGGAGCTGGACAGGTGGCAGAATAAAGGCACTAGACGCGAGCTCTACTGGGGCTTCTTCAATGGTCGGGCGCAGGTGAAGAGAAGTGGACCCTGGAAGGAGACCGATTGGATCCTCTGCGATTATTATCTCCCTTACGCTCTGGGTGGTGGATATGTCCTATCTTACAACCTCGTCAAATTCATCGCCGACAATGCGGACATCCTCAAGTGAGTAAGAAGAAGTTTGAGCGGATAATTCTGCATAGTACATCTTTAATTGTAATTAAAATTCTTCCTTTGTCATTTTCAATACAAATTTCAGACTGCATAATTCCGAGGACATCTCCGTCGGCCTTTGGTTAGCACCGCTGGCGAACATCGAGAGGAAGCACGACGTGCGCTTCGATACGGAGTACAGATCGCGAGGCTGCTCCAATCAGTACATAATCACGCACAAACAAACGATCCAAAATATGAGAAGTATGCATGAGCATTATCAAGTCTCCGGCGCATTGTGTTCCAAGGAAGTGAGGAATCGCATGAGTTATCAGTACAATTGGACCGCGCCACCCAGCCAGTGCTGCAATAGACAATCCGGCATCCCTTAACGTAGAGAGAAGAGATTTTTGCAATTCTAGTCTGGTTTTTTGATATTTGCTCAAAAAACATTTACCATGTAATGACTAAGATTTCCATTTATATTCTGATTTGTACTCTCAGGATATATCGATATTAAATACTAATTAAAGCGCATAGATATAGCTTTTCAAGGATAAGCAATTTAAACAGTATTACTAAAGTTCAGATGATTATAGCGAATTCGTGATATTTCTTTGTAGGATTTCAAAGCGATAACTTCAAATCCAGATTTTATTCGTTATTCGAACATAATTGTACAATAACGCTGTTAAGTAATTAATTGAAAACGCTTGTAAATACGTATTTTGTACATACTTTAGCAATGGGCAGGTAGACAAACATGAGATAAGTTTTGATGAAGTAAATATATTTTTCTTAATTGTATTGCTGTACTTTGTTTATAATACATATTTTATTCTTTCAACAAGAACTTACTTTACGTATAAAACGATGTACATTTATAACATATAAAAACAGTAATAACATTAATAATTTAATATTCTAAAACTATAAATAGCGAATGGAAAAATCACAGATATATTCAAGAAACGGCCATATAAAAGAATGACGAAATTGTAAAATGATTCTAATGCGACGCGATTTGCATTATTAATAAATTACTATTTTCATATATAAAAAGAATATCAAGCGATAGCGAGATGATGGCCGATTCTCAAAGTGTTTTCTGTCTGTGATAGATATTTAAACTGTGCTTCCATTACATTAACATTGATAATAAAAAATTCGCCGAACCATTTCATACTGAGATCGAAAAAATATGGTTTTTTTATATATATATATATATATATATATATATATATATACTAATAATATATAT